AAGCAGCGTCCTCCACACTAGACTGAAGAACAAAACGACAGCAACTTGTCTGTTCCCCTTCCCCTAATTCCCCAGCACTGTTCCCATCCCCCCAATTACCCAATAAAAATCTTTTAAAAAAACCCCAAAAAACAAGTCCTCCAAGTGACCCTCATGTACATTCAAGTTTGAGACTCTTAAGACGCCACCATTTTGCAGTGTGTGTGACGCTGCACACTGTCTCCTCTTATTCTCTGAACAGTGCAGTAAGGTTAACAGCAGCACTGTCCCCTTTTAACAGATAAGGACACCAGGACTCAGGTGACATGGACATGGGGCTCTGTTCACTCTCCTGCTCACCTGCTGTGGCCTCTCTGAACCTTAGCTTTCCCACCAGCTCTTTTCCTTTGCTCTTTTGCAGCCTGCAAAAAGCTGGAAGGGAAGCCTCGCCAACTTTGGAACACAAACATTTGCCAGTGAAGAAAACATTCTCCCATCAATCAAAACCCAGACAAGTTGGCACACATTTTCCGCAGATGCCTGAGGGAGCTTCTATTTTAGGAGGAGCCAGGTGGCCCGCAGATTCCCCCTCCTCCTTAAACACCCCCAGCTCCTTCTCTTCCTACCTCTTTTGCAGATGAAGAGACTGAGGTTCAGAGTGGTCACTTGTCCTTGGTCACACAGCATCCAGAGGGACTTTCATTTATTTTCTTTGAAAGTATTTGTCTTAATAAATGATATACATAGAAGGTAATCTCCAGGCCTAAAAATGACAATTTCTAGGGCAGATAAGCAACAGACATAGCTTTCCATGTCATCTGAGTGGGCAGAACTTAATTATATTCTTTTTTTTATTAGTTTCAGGTGTATAAAACAACAGTGATTAGACATTTATATACCTCCCAAAATGATAACTCCAATAAGTCTATTATCACCCACCTGACACTGTACATAGTTATTATATTATTGACTATATTTCCTATGCTCTACTTTATATCCCTGTGACTATTTTTTAAAATTATAATTGACATTCAATATTATATTAGTTTCAGGTGTACAGCATAGTGGTTAGACATTTATATAATTTATGAAGTGATCCCTCCATAAGTCTAGTACCCATTTGACACTATACATAGTTTTTACAATATTTTTGACTAAATTTCCCATACTGTACTTTACATCTCTGTAACTCTTTTGTTACTACCAATTTGTACTTCTTTTTCTTTCTTTTTTTTTTTTAGCTGAGCCATCCTGCTATCTGTTGACAGCTCAGGGGCCGCTCAGTTTGGGCCGTGAATCAAACCGGGGACCCTGTTGCTCAGAGCTCAAACTCTTGAGCGAGCTCTTAACGAACTGAGCCACTCGGCCAGCCCATCCAATTTGTATTTCTTAATCCTTTCACCTTTCTCACCCAGCCCTCCAACCCTCTCCCATCTAGTAACCATAGTTCTCTGTATCTATGAGTGTTTCTGATTTATTTTGTTCTTTAGATTCCACATATAAGTGAGATCATATGGTATTTGTTTTTCTCAGTCTGACTTGTTTGACTTAGCGTAATACCCTCTAGGTCCATCCATGTTGTTGCAAAAACTTAATGATATTATTTCATCTTCCCAACCCTACATGGGACACGTTTCAGGGGGATTAGAGGGGAAAGCATGTGGGGTTATCTGGGGTGGGGCAGCTTTTCTGCAGAGATACAGAATTCTGGAATCCTCCTGTCCCCTATGCTTTTCTTCAGGGCCTAATGAACAGGGTTTCCCTACTTTGTCCCTCACTCCCAGTCCTGCACAGGCTGCCTTACCTCCCAGGAAGCTTTCCTGGCCTATGAGCACCCTTATCAGAATCACCCTGGCCCTGGTTAAAATTCAGCTTTCTGTCCCCACCCCAGGCCCCTGAATCACAATTTTCTAGGAGTGTGCATGTTTCCACTCAGAATCTTCTAGGGGATTCTGAAACAGCAGGGAGGCTGAGAACCACTGCTATGATGTTTCACACAAGCCCACTGTAGAGAGAGCACCTGTTCAACAAACAGATGAGCACATCAATGCTGCAATCTGCAAACTTGCCCCTTCATAAGCCTCACCTGGGGTGCTTGTCAACATACAAATTCTGAGCCTTTCCCCCCAAAGTTTCTGAATTGGAAGATGTGGGTGGTGTGGAGCAATCCACATTTTTATAAATTTTTAACCAATGAGTATAGAGAAAGCAGAAAATTTTGAAATGAAACAACGCCTTCCCTCACTCCCATGGGGTGGGGCTGTGTCTGTCTAGTCAGCTAATACTGTGACCGAATTAAATGCATTTACTCCCGGCCCAGGAGTAAGGGGTACAGACTCGGTGCTGGCGGGTAGGCACCCAGGGCAGGTGAAGGGACAAAGAAACGTGGTGCCAGGTGCTGGAGGGGAGGCGGCACCAGGTGCTTGGCCCACAGGAGAGGGCGGGGCCCCGTGCTGTCCGCGAAGGGGCGGGGCCGGGGCCTGACTGGAGGGGCGGGTCAGCTCTCACTCGCTCAAGCTTGCCAATCCGTGGGCTCGTAACAGCTACGTCCACCGCCTCCCGCCGCCGCGCGGAGAGCGCCGCGTTGCTATAGGTCGGCTGAGGGATCTTCCGGCCGGGGGGCGGGCTCTGCGTGGTGGCGGGAAAGCGGCAGACGCGGCACCTCCGCGGGGACGCTGAGGGGCCGGGAAGCGGCGGCGAGCCTTGGGCTGCCCACTTGCGCCGTCATGGACGCGGCCGAGGTGGAGTTTCTGGCCGAGAAGGAGTTAGTGACCATCATCCCGAACTTCAGTCTGGACAAGATCTACCTCATCGGGGTAAGGGTGCGCAGGCCGGGCATTTGCCTCAGGCCCCACGTCTAGGATGAGAAGCTGGGCGGCGGACTCGGCGTGCCCAGCCCGCGGGGACTGCGTGGAGGGGGCGGGGGCGAGGTTCCGAGCCGAGGGCCGTGTGTGTGTGTGTGGGGGCGGGGGCGGCGGCGGTAGCCCGCGCTTCCCGTGTTCTCGGGCGGCCCTGTCTACCCCCCACCCCCACCCGCCGCCAGCGCCGCGGGAAACCCGACTCAGGTGGGCTGCCAGGTGCGGCCAGCGCCACCGCGCGAGGGCAGACGTCGGGCCGCCCCCCGCGGCTCCGGGAACCCCCAGGGCTTGTGTGTGGACTGCGATGTGCACCCATTGCCCGTTCTCGTGTTTGACCGCGGCGAGGTCCGCTAATGCCTGTGGGTCGGCTTTGTCTTACGTGGGTTTGTTTGTCCTCTGACAGGGGGACCTGGGGCCCTTCAACCCCGGCCTACCTGTGGACGTGCCTCTGTGGCTGGCGATTAACCTGAAACAGAGACAGAAGTGCCGGCTGCTGCCCCCGGAGTGGATGGACGTGGGTAAGGACGTGCGCGGACGTTCATCTGGACGTTCATGGCTCCAGACGCCCCCCGCCCAGTCAGCTGACCACTGTTACCGATGTCCTGTTCGTTTGGGGTGGGTCTTTCCGTTTTAGTTCAGATTTTGTTTTTAAGCTGTTTCAACTTGTTTTAAAAGTATTGTGTGACCGCAAGCATTGGTTTCAATTAAAAAAATATATATATATCTATCTATCTCTAGACTAACGTGTTGAGGAGTAGTCACAGCCTACATTACAGAGACGGTATGAAAGTAATGCTTTATCCATAAACGGGACTAGGATTCAGCCACATAAAGGGATGCTGCCATGTGGATTGACCTTGAAAACCTTATGCTAAGTGGAAAAAAAAAATGGAAAAAGACAGAAAGACCACAGATGGTATCACTGCATTTATGTGAACTGCCCGGAATGGGCCAATCCGCAGAGACCAAGTACATTAGTGGTTGTCTAGGGATGGGGGTGATGGAGGGATTGTGGGGGTCCTTGATTGGGGTGGTGAAAAGGGTGTGCAACTCTGAGCCTAACTCACAACCATTGACTACTTGAAATGGGTGAATTGTATGGTCTGTGTACGCCTCAGTGAAGCTGTTAGAAAGAGCAAAACAGAAAACGCATCAGACATGCAGACAGACTTGACTCTGACTTTTATTCTTTGTAGCCTTTTCCCCGCCTCAGAGCTGTGAATGGCTCATGGTAGCAAAGAATCCTGATTTTATTGGGGCGGGGGTAGTGATGGGCCATGTAGGATTTGGAAAGCCCTGGTTTTGATGGCCTCCTCCCCCTCGGGAATCACCTGGGGATACCTGCCTCTTAGAAGCAAGGATACCTTCAGCCGGGCGCTCTCACACGCAGCTTAAGGAAGGCTTCTTGGGCGTTGCCTCCTTACTCCCTGTCCTAAAGGGGTGCGTGGCCCTGGTGGTCCTGAAACATCATGGGAAACAACAGATCCTTCTGCTCGGAAGGGGTTCTTGGTCCCACCGGGCCTGGCTCTATGAGGGCTGCGTCCCCTCATTTAAGATCAACTTCTGGCCGTTTTGGCCCATCCAAACCCCAGGTGATACGGGGCAAGAGCCTGCCCCACTCAGGCAGGCCAGAGGCGGAGAGGTGTGGAGAGTTAGCCTCAGCTTCTTCACAGGCCTGGGCCACACTGTGGTGCGAAGTCGTGAAACATCACTGGTGAGTCGGCAGACCCTGCCTCGGAGTCGGCCACCGTACATCGGTTCTACCTTTTCTTGGGCTTCATACCAATACGTCATGTACATTTTAGTCTCTGACTTGATTCCACGTAATGTTTTTGAGAGTCACCCCTGTTGTTGCATGGGTCGTTAACCTTCTTTTATTGCCGAGCAGTGTTCCATTGTGTGAGTATCCCACAATTTGTTCACCTCTTCTTCTGTTGGTGGATATTTGGGTTATTTTTCCCACTTTTAGCTATTGGGAATAAGGCTATGAGCATTCTTGTTCAAGTATTTTTGTGGACATATGTTTTTATTTCTCTTGGGTGAATAAATACCTAGAGTGGTGGAATTGCAGGGTCCTGGGGCAGACTGTGCTTAACTTGGTGAGAAACTGCCAACCAGTCCTCCAGAGTGGTTGAGCCATTATTATAACCCCACCAGAAATGCCTGAGAGTTCTCAGTGTTCCATATCTTAGCCAACATTGGGTGTTGTTAGTCTTTGGACTTGTTGCAGGGTTTTAACAGAGGTGTTTCATACTCTGATTTCGATGTTAGAAAAGAAGTGTCAGTCTGCTGTGCAGAGCAGATGTGTGTGGGGAGAGGGCAGCAGAAAATTCCCCAGGCAAGAATTGGCTGACTCGGCCAGCTGATGGAGGTGGGCAGTTGTGGTTGGAGTCGAGGCATATTTTGAAGGAAGAAGAATCGGTAGGATTTGCTGAAGAACTGGCCATGTGGTGTGAGAGAGAAGAGTTAAGGATGAAGTCCAGGGTGGCTGGCTTGAGCTCCAGAAGGAGACAGAGTTGCCTTTTCCTGAGAGGGAGATGACTACAGGAGCAGTTCGTGGGCTGGGGTGGGCACCAGGAGTGGAGGTTTGGACATGTTACCCTGGAGGTGCCAGTTAGAAGACACCCACATGGAAACAATGTGAGCAGTCGGGTATTTGAGTCAGAAATTCAGGGGAAGGGCTGATCTGGGGAAGGAGATGTAAATTGGGAAGTCTTCGTAAGTACATAGGTGGTATTTAAATGAGGCCAGATGAGATCACGTGGGATATGGGTTAAGTAGTGGAGATGGGTCAGGGAACTGAACTCTGTACCCCAGTGTTGAGAGGTCAGGAGGGCCAGGAGGAATCAGAGAGAACTCAGAGAGTGGTGTTGCAGAAGCTAAGTGATAAATACACTCCAAGGAGGAGGATTGACCCACGTTGGATATGGAGACTGAGATGGAGCCATTGGGTTTGGCCAAGCAGAGGTCGTGGGTGTTGGTGGAAAGATAGGATAGACACCCCATTGCAGTGGTTGAGGAGGAGAAGTAAATGCCAGTGTCAGACGACTCTTGAAGTTGTATTGTAAAGGGCTTGAGAAATGGATTGGTAGCTGGAGAAAGATTTGGTGTCAGGGGAGGGTTTTCTTTTTAAGATGGGAGATTTTGCAGCGTGTTTGATGGAATGGTCAAATAGTGAGGGAAACAATGATCACTCAAGAGTGAAAGATAGTTGCTGGAGTGGTGTTCTGTGCAGGTGAGAGGAGGGTCCAGTGCATACCCAGAAGGCTGGCCCTCGTGTATGGACAGACGCAGGGAGGTTAGAAAGATGTGGCGGGAGCAAGCGGGGCAGCGAGATAAGGAAACAAGGCATGAAGATGGTGGGCATGATAAAAAATGAGAGCATATCCTGCCATAGCATTGCAGGATAGTACCAAGGGCCCCTGGAGACGGGTGGTCTGTCCTGTAAAGTGAGACCACACAGCATAGTTGTATCTACATGTGTGTCCCTTAGCCACACTGGACAGTCCAGATCCAGGACTGGAAGTTTCTCAGGCTAGGAAGTCAGGTAGAGGGGTAAGTCAGTTGTGGCCTGTAGAGAAGAGTTCTACTGCTGGGTGGGATTGGACTTGGCTGTTTGATTCCAGATGCTGGGCTTTCAACCCCCAAGACTGGAGTGGTTGTATTTGTAAGCTAACTTGCTCTTCTGAACAAGGCTTATTATAATTTCTCCAGTCACTGTTTATTTTCATCACTTCTTACATCAAAGATAGAATACTTTGCTTTTTCCCTAAGAACTTCTGACATATTCTTTTCAGTAATATATTCTGCCAGCCACAGCAGCAACAACAATAATTTACACCTTCTCTGAGAGAAGGCCCGGATCATCTCAATAGTGATACAAATGACATTCCAAAAAGTGTTTCTTTCATGTATTTGGTAGTTGATTGAATAGGAAATATAGGCACTTGGTACATTTGGAAGGTTTAAAACAATATCTTGGTTATGGTGATGGTAAAATATGTTCGCTTCTAAATTTCAGAAAAATTGGAGAAGATTAGGGATCATGAGCGGCAGGAAGAAACTTTTACCCCTATGCCTAGCCCTTATTACATGGAACTGACCAAACTCCTGTTAAATCAGTAAGTAATCTCACTTCTTAGAGCCCACACATAAGATTGAACCCATGATTCTCATCCCTTGCCCTTCCTTTCTTGTTCCGAGCTCATTACCGAGGTGAGTGGTATTCCTGGCCACCCGGTTCCTCAGATCAGTAACCTGGGAATCCTCTGTGTGCACATGCATACTTGCCTGGACTCTCTCCCCCTTTCTCGTTTTTCCTTTTCTCCTCCCCTCTCCCTCCCAGTAAATCCCTTGGTTCTTTTCATTCTACCTCCTAATTATGTTGACATTGGACCCCGAGATGAACCTCCATCATCATCTCTAGCAGTAGACTTTTTCATAACTGGAGATATGTTTTATTAGTAAAGCTTTACCCCTTTTTCTTCTTTGGGATGTGCGTTTGAGTTCTTGCATGTCTGTCACAGGAGAGGCCAGAGGACTCCCATTTGCCTCTGACCCTGAGCTATGAGAAAAGCCCACGAGTGGCAAAAATGTGCTGTAGTAAATCTCTTCCCTACATCCAGTTCTGGCTCTGCCTCGGCTTCTAACTCGTTCACCATGTTGCAGCCAGAGTGGTCCTTTAAAGCTAAAGCTGCCACGGGACTCCCCTACTCCTTGGAGCCTTTCCAGGGTTTAGTCTCAAGTTCTGACTGTGGTATTCAAAGCACTGCATAGTCTGGTTTCCTTCTCCCTTCTCTCACAGTTCTCTTATAGTTCTTCCCTCTGATTCTCTATGTTCCAGACTCACATTGGCCCTTTTCACTTTATACATACCAAGGTCCTCAGGGCTTTGCATATACTGTACCCTCTGCCAGTAAGCCCATCTGTTCCCTGCTCCCTTTTTTGGTTTAGCCTAACAGGTACTCCCTGTCCTACCTGCCCTCTTGGCATCTCTGTACAGTACCTCCATAGCATTTGTCAGTTGTAATTTTCTAATCACTTGTCTATGCTTTTCCCCTCCATCCCCAGTTCTAATGGGCAGGGACTGTGTCTTGTGTGTACTAACGGTTCCTGGTGCTTATGTTTGTTGAATGAATGAATGAGAGGAAGAAATCAGTGGAGGGGGCAGGCCTAGTGTGGACAATTTTGCTTAGAATGTAATTTGCAAAATGCCAAACTTATGACACCTTTTAATTGATGGATTCAAGAGCAGAACTAGAACAAAACTTGGGGAGCTCCCTGCTGCCTGCTGTAGAGCAGCAAGGGCCAGGGGCATACTGAGTGGCACTTCTGTGCAAATGAAAATTCAGGGTATATAATGCGGACTTGTCTTTTAGTTGATACGAAGTTGCAATTCACAACATACTAAGTGTTCCACTAGATAGTGGCAAGTCATGTAGGCTTGAGTTCCTGGTTTAGCTGGGGAGAGATGTGACCCCGTTACCCCGTAGTTACACTGCAGTGTGATAAATGCTACTCAGAGTATGTTGGGATGCAATGCTAATTCCTGGTGGTGCCAGAGAAGGGATCCCACACTGGAAGGATGAGGGAACATTTACTAGGGAGGAAGGAACAGAAGTGTGAAGGGGCGTGGTGTGTTTGGGAAGCAGAGCTGTTGGGGCATAGAGTGTGTGGGGGTGGGAATGCTGAGGCTTTTCTTCTGTCGGTGAAGGGCCCCTGGGTGTTCAGGAAGGGCTGTGCCACCGGTGGATGAGAAAGCCTTCTGTGGCAGTAGGAAGAGTGACTGGGAAGGGAGAATCTGGAAGCAGAGGTGATGGGCCTGCTCATCTTTAGTTTTTGAAGTTCAGTATATTATGTATGCAGTTCCTATTGAAATCCTTGTCTTGAAATCCTTTAGAATTCATTCGGCTAAGGAACCTAAGTGTACCTTTGTTCTGCAGTTCAGTTAACAAGGAACTGGGGTTCTTTCTTTAACCTGCTGTTCAGAGCAAAGGATCCAAATGTTTGGGCTTTATGTAAAAGCCACTATTTAAATTTTATGCCACCGATTCTCCATCTACTAATCACGAGCTAATTTTAGCATGTGGAGAGATCATTTCCAGCTTATCCTAGAATTCCTGATGATGAATGATGTTGGCTTCTGCTTTTATCATCTAGTTTGTCTTTTCCTTCAAAGGTTAGTTTACCAAAAAAAATCTTACACAGGAAGGCTGTCATCGCCCCTCGATGACTCTGGTTCAAACTTTTACCCAGAATTCACTGTTAATAGGTGTGCTCAGTGTATGCTAATATGCAGTATCTTCTGTGATTTTTGTAAACATATTTTTGTTTTCGCCATAGAATAGGATAATACCTACCCTTCAGGGCTTTTGTGAGGATAGAAATGCGGTGTAGTGCTGAGCACAGTGCCTGGTACGGAGCTGTCCGCTTCTTTCCCTGGAGGGTTGTAAGCCCTTGGATAACCAATAGGATATGAGCAATAGAAGTCGTGACCTCTGAGCCAGTCTTGAAACAAATTCATTCCAGATGGAAATTCTACAGCACAGGACACTCCAGTTATCCGAGACAGAGGATGTCCAATGTAGAGCTTATTCTCTGATACTTAATTAGGAAACAAGTCCTTTTGCCATCTGACATGGACAGGTAATAGCATAAATTCCTGTGTGGATCATGGCAAAATTCTCTTGGTACCAAACTGAACTGCTAGAAATCCTTACATTTTAAAACTGAAAACAAAGCAAAACAGATTTTGAGCCTAGAACAGCCTGTGTATTTTGCCTGAATCCAAGCAGCATTTTTTTAAAAAGCCACTTCTAGCTGGATATTGCTTTAGTTTACGAAGTGCTTCCTTATGCGATTTATTTCACCTTTTGCCTCCTCAAGTGCTTCAGACAACATCCCGAAAGCAGATGAGATCCGGACCCTGGTCAAGGATGTGTGGGACACTCGCATAGCCAAACTCCGGGTGTCCGCTGACAGCTTTGTGAGGCAGCAGGAGGCGCATGCCAAGGTAGGTGTGCTCCTGGCCTGGACCGCGGGCTGCATCCCGCGTCCCATTGGGGAAGGCTCAGTGCTGCCTACGGATTTCCTGTGTGGCACTCTGCCGGTTTAGGCTATCACAAGCAGGGATTACTAGCTGGGCTTTTTAAAATGATTGGTTTCTTAGTTTTGTTCAGATTTTACCTTTTCCTCAAAATTAGAAATGCAACCAACCCAGTGTTTTCTCTTGTGTTTTAGCTGGATAACTTGACCTTGATGGAGATCAATACCAGCGGGGCTTTCCTTACACAAGCGCTCAATCACATGTACAAACTCCGTACAAACCTTCAACCTTCCGAAAGTGCCGAGTCTCAGGAATTCTAGCGAAGGACCTCTGATCTGTGAAGGCCTGGCCTGCCGGCAGGGGGCTTGCCAGGCAGTGTGTGAGCGCTCAGGACACGACAGAGGTCCTCACAGTTCTGGAGTCCTAGAAGCATTTTTGAATGTAAGAAAAATGTGGAATGAAGCAAGAAATGGATTCATAATGTTGGAAAGCAGCAGGTTTGCGCTTAGTACTCGAGATATCCTTTAATTCCACATCTGTTTCAAGAAGCCAGCTGTTCTTTTATAGGGGAAAAGAAAAGCTTCGGCTTTTGGCAAACAAATTCTTCCTGGCAGAGCCTCAGGTCTTCTGCACGGAACTGTTATGTGGGTGAGTATTCAGTGACGTTAAAAAATAGAGATACAGTAAGAGTGGTGGTGTGGCCTAGGGCTTTTTTTTTTTTCTTGAGTCTGATCTCTTGGACTAAACTTAGAATCTACAGAGGTTGCTCACCGAGGATGGCAGGTGTGTGGCTAGTGATATTGACTGGTGTTGATCATGTAAAAGCCCTGATACACAATAAAAGATGCAATCAACCCAATCTGTTGGGGTTTTTTCCTGCTACTAAGCAGAAGGAACAAGCAACATGACTAAAATGATCTGATAAGACCAAACTGAGGTGTGTAGCAGGCAATTGTAAACTTCAAACACTGCGTATCTCTTGTTCTCTTGACTACTGGTTGAGGTTTAAAGGGTTGCTTATCAAGGGGAAAGTCAGGTGAAAAACACCTGATTCCGTGTTATCGAGTACGTGAGTGAACTGAAGACATGAAGCTAGGAAGGAAAGCTGGACCTATTTTGGGGCAAGACTTTGTTCTAGGTAGCAGTGGCTCAAATAAGGGTAAATTCTTTAATAAGAGAAAAAAAATTCAATTGGAGCATTTTGGAATCATTCAATTCCTTGCAGAAATTACATTACCTTGAGAGGGGTAAAGATTGTCTAGTCATACAGTGAATGGAAGGTTCTATAACCATCTGGTTTTTGACTGTAGCATCGTTGGTTGAAAGCAGTAGATGCTATCTCGAGGGCTTACGGAAGAGTACACATACACGATCAACTGGGCCTGGGGAATATCTGCTGCTATTTGCCCTTCAGTGTTTAAAGTGCAAACTTCTAGTTACTTAAGCACTGTTTCTCCATTCACATTGCTACCAGTCTGGGTGTCCCTCCGGTGGCTACCTGAACACTGAAGGGCCAGACATGGAGGGATTAGGACACAGGGATAAAGAGCTGGTCTCAATCATTTAAAGTGACTGTTTAGAGGGTTGCTTTCAGATGACAGGATGTGCCTTGTCATCTCACTCTTCTAGAGGAAACCCACATGTTACTGTAGAGGGTTAGGCGTCCTGTGTAGCTCAGATTTTTCCCCTTCTTACCTTTCTCTTAAAATCTGACTGAGGTACAGTTGAATCGGTCTTTGTCTTTTACCTGTAAATCTATATAGCTGTTGAGTTTTTTTTTTTTTCTTAAATGGCCTTGTTTTATTATAACATAAAAAAGATTTTCCTCTTAACATGATTTAGGAAGATTTTATTTTTTTGGATGTTGTCAGAAATTACAGCAATATATTCATAAATACCTAATTACTACATTCAACAAATAATATTACAATACAATTAATTCAAACAAGTACACTTAGAACAGGTTTAATTTCACAGCATCTAAACTGCCCCCAGAGTGACCGAGGCACCGTTCCTCCTTCCTCCCAGGTACTGGTTTACTGTTCTAGTAATTAAGCACAGGGTACATACAAAGTAACACAACCAATTCGCATGGTCTTCCTCAGGTCAAGGCAGAGTTAAGGAGTTTAAGTTAAGCGCTGGATCAAAAAGTTGGGGACAGGCTACTGCAAGTAGTAAGAAAGTCAATAGCTTGGTTACTTAAAGAGCATAGGGATTGTTGCTAAGTGGCTAATATACACTTATTGAAGAGTAACAGAATCGGCCTATGCTGACCATCTCCATCTTGTGGTGAATCCTTGGAATTTCCTCCACATGGCTCAGAGCGAAAGGGAATATCTGATTTAAGTTTTGAGATTTGGCAGCATTGTGAGCTACTTGAGGAACTGACCATTCCATGCACAAAGTTAAGATGTTCTGTGATAGAAAATTCTTTGCTGCTTAAAGTGTGGGCTCCTTTGAATATTCTTTGAATTTCCTTAAGGGTATAATCTATTAAGAGTGTTAATGCCAATTAAGTGTTTTATTTCCTTTAGGATTTAAACTAAACTGTTGAAAATTCTGTCTTGGCCACTTATCTGAGACAATGGAGTAAAATCATGCTATTTTTTTCATGTCAGTTTGGTTTTGATTATATGAAACAGAAAAACAGCTCCTTTTCAAACGATCAGGTTATGTCGTACCAAATTTTGGGGAAAGCTCTGGTTTGTTTCTACAGATCTGGTTCAGTGTGGAACCACATTATTCAGCTTTGGAAGGTATCCCTCACAAGTTTAGTAAAATCCTTTTCAGAGGGACAGATGGCAGCTGTCTCCTCCAGGTGCTGTAGGAAGCACAGGAGGTCCTGAAGGACTGAGGTCTTCACAAAATACTGACACAAAAGGTTGCAAAATCAGCTCTAGAGCAAATTTGGTATACTTTTAAACTCAATGTGCAATAGCTGAATAAAAAGCTTCAGAGTGCCTATTTTGTGAAGCCCAAACTGAAAAGAAACTTAGATGCTACCATGTTCTTTTAGAATCATCTGAAAGTGTTTTCAGATTATAGAATTATTGGATGGAAAACCCATTATTGGGTACTATGTCTTACCAGTGCACTTTTGTTTTCAAAAGACACTTTACCTTTTTCTTAGTTTATTCATGCTGTTTTCCTGGTTTATATTTTCTGATTGTCATATTACTTCTTGAGCCCAAGAATATGCAGAGATCTCCAAAGATGGGTGCGAGTGTGGTGCGGCAGAGTAACAGAAGCTCAAAGGCGAGGAGAAGGTGGTGTTTTCAAGTAGAAGGGGGAAAAGCAGTTATTACTAGCTCACTGACACAGCTTCCATCCCTGGGCAGAGACCTCCCCTGGGATGGCGCTTTCCCTTATCCCACAGGCCACGACCTCCTCTCCTAACAACACAAACCCAACCAAGGGAGCTCCCCCCTCGGCTGGTGAAGGGATGGGCTGTGCTTTTCCTTCCCACCAAGTTCTCAGATCCACATTTTTTTCCTTTAGCCAAGGCCGTTAACAAGGCTGATCTGTACAAGTATCCAGACATTATCTGGAGGAGGAGGACTGGGAGCGAAGTGCTAAGATGTAACTCTTAAGCTTTCAGACCAGAAACAGCAAGCAGATTTTAAATAGAGAAATTCAGTGATATTCTGCCCTGATTGTTGGCAATAGAGCTCCCTCTAAACATCTGTCCCCACCTGTGGAACATGTTGTGCTGTCAATGTCTTTGCAGGGGAGGAGGCCCACAGAACAGCCCTCAGTTCTCGTCAAGTCGGTTCTGTGGAGAGGAAGGTGCTTGTTGACTGCTGATAATACTGGCGGCACTTTTTGTCTGAGTTTGCTAATAACTGGAAGATTCTTGGCAGACATACAAAGCAAACTGTGTGGGAACAGATAAAGCGACACAATGCCATCTGCCAGCAAGCTGTTCTGCACAGCTAAGGTCTGGGGCTGAGGGTGCGGCCACTGATCGCAGCGAGTAGCCCTCATGAAGGTCAGCCAGCCCTTCCCCTGGGTGGAGGGGGGATGTGATGCTCAGGCCTCCTCCCTTTCCCCTCCTCCCTGGCAGACCAACCACTGGCTGCTTTGGCCTCTGGTTCAAGCCCATTCGGGCAAGAGATACTTTCTTGATCTAGATTAAACCCTGCCTGAATGAGCAGTAACTGGGACAAGAAGGAAAATTTCCCCCATTGCTTTGCATTGATCTGATGATCCCAGTTTCTAGCTGCTCCTGTGCTTGTCACAGTCAGTTCAAAAGGAGGAGAAGTCCAGCTCAGACATTGTTTATCCTACTCTTAGGCTTTTACAAAGCTTTGCATCTAAATAAAGCCTCTAAAGTTTCTACTTTGCACCTGTTCTCAGACTGCTGTAAGACACCTTAGAATTCTATCACAGAAACCGCTCACTTCCTGAAAGGTTCTTTTACAAAAGCCCCACGTCTGTACGTGCAAGCATAGGTGCACACAGTATCTGTCGGGTTCACCACAGACTAGCCCCTCCTCACCTAATAGCAACTGGGTGTATCTGCTATTTGCTGTCCAGAGCTGAGGGGAGGGGGTAGAGGAGGAGGTAAGAAGTAACGCATGGCTTTCTACATCATTTTCTGGTGCAACTCAAAAATGAAGTGATCGCATAGGCGCCAGTGGTAAGCTCTTTTACTTTTCTTCTTAATTTTTAAAAACACTTCAATATTTTAATGTCCTGACCAGCAGCAGTACAAACACTAAAAGCAAGTTTTTTTTTGCCCAGAAAAAACAAAAAAACAAACAAAACCCCCAAACAGGAAAACAAACAAACAAAAATCCCCCCAAACCACATATTAAAAATGGCAGGCTTTTTATAACAATAATTAAAGTAATAAAAACATACAAAACTTTTTTTTTTAATATATATACACAGTACAAGGCTGAAGCACCTTTGACTTTTCTCTCAAAATTTGTATGAAAACACCCCCCACTGCAGCAACAATTTGGTGGGTGTGAATATATGTATACATAGCTCTGTACATTTCCCCCACGAAGTAATAAAAAGGTACCTTCAGTTTGTCGATTCACTTTAGGTATGAGCTTTTCCAGGGAAAAGCTTTTGGGTGAGGCTTCAGTACTGTTGCTTTGTGTGCTCCTAGGACCTGTTGCTTTGAAGAAAATTTTGCAGAAAAGTAACTGAAACAAATAAGCCCTTTACTTAAAATGCACCCCGTTTTCATTCAGCTGAAACTGGTCTCAGTCCTGGGGAGGAATGAGACAGACCCCAAGCTCCAGCAAAAGCAAACTTGGGTCTTGAGGCAGAGTAATATGGCAACACAAGAAATAGAACACAAGCGGTTTGATCCAATCTTATGCACCCAGGGGCTACAAATGATAAAGTTTTAGTGTTGGTAATGGAACTTCCCTTTTCAGATTAAAAATAGTGACGTGGGGGCAGAAAGAATAAAACTGCCTTTAAAAAGAAAAAAAAAAAACCAAAAAACTATGGGCATCGTCCTACATTGGGTTGCTCGCTGAATTACAAAGGTGATTCAACTGCGTTGAAGTCAAGGCGAGTTCGTTGAAGTCAAGGCGAGTTCGTTCTTTTTCTGGAGCCTGGAATCCTTTGCTTCATGCATGGCACATTCTTATTTTTTTTTTTAAGCTTCAAACCTCCCAGTGAAAAATATTAAATATTCAAGGTAATAAAATAGATAATATTTCTATACTATAGGTTCGGCCTAGTGCAAGGGAAACCGTCACCTAGGATATCCCTTAAAGTAACCCCTAGGCCAATGCATTGCAGGCAACGCAAGGCACTTCCGTAAGTGATCCAGTTCCGCCTGGAGTCGCTCCCGTTCTGAGACAATCTTCTGCTTCTGGCTCCTCAACTCCTGGGGAGGGAGAAACTCACGTTAAATACACTTGTTTCGCACTGTAAGGAAACTGACACAGAAATGTGCTGTAGGCCACGTGGAAAAGCAAACCTTCAGTGCTCTGAAAACCTCGACTTCCCAGCCCAGTCTGACAGTGGCCTTTGGGGACAGTCTGTTACTGGTTCTTCCAGGTACTTCCAAAATCTTGGGTTCTCACAATACCTACTCTGAGAACCAGTATTCACTGTTGTCTTAACTTTAACCCTGAGATTTAAAAAATTAAGTCCTGATATTATAAAACTTTGGCTGCTTCAGGAGTGGCCAAGCTGTGCACACCTGATCTGAGAGAAGCCCCCTGTCCCGCACTGGGAAGAAGCCTGCAGGG